TGTATTTTTCTTTGAGACGATGTATCGCTGTAAGAGAAGGCATAGTGTGTATGTAAGGATATAAGTCAAACAAAAGAAGAGAAAAAAGTTAAAGATTTGGCAAAAGTCCTCCCTTCGCGAAAAAGCGTCACGACCCTACGAATTAATGCTTGTGTCAATTGAAAAAAGGCTATTTTTTACTGTCATATCAAGAGCTATTTACCAAATCATCATTTGACCCTTCTACATGTTTACTTTCTTTGAGGGGTCCATAATAAAAAATAGTTCATTTCCTTCTAATGCCTTTTCTTTTTCATAGAATCAAAAGAGAAAAAGAGAGGGAGAGAAAGAGGATAAGGGAGGTTCCAAACGGTATTTTATACGATGTCTAGATCACTGCTCAGGCTTTAGAGGAACTTGGTGCTGTGTTATACAGATCATAAAAAGCGCTTGTATATCTACTTTTTTTCTTTCTTGTTTGATTCCAATGCTACACACACAATAGAATACATAATTTAGACAGAATAAATAAAGAATCTCAATCGCTGCCCTGTATGTCTGTGTTAAAACTACCCCAGGTAAACATAAAGAAAAGAAAAAAGATGACAGGTTACAAAGGACGTGTGGATAATATATATATATATGTATAAACAGCTATTATTCGGTTTCTTTTTTACTATCATTTTCCTCTATTTTACTCGATTCTTCCTTCTGCTCTTGTTCGCTTTCATCCTTATTTTCTAATGGTTGCTCTTTGTCCTCCTTCTCGTTGGATGCGTCTGTGGATGAAGAAGCGTCTTTTGTCTGATTGTAATAATGTCCATAATATTGTTGGAACCATTGATTGTAAGCTTCTTTTTGTTCTTGAGTTTGTGGTTGCCCGTAATAATGAGCGTAGTATGCAGCTGCTTGTTCAGCTATGTTGTTCAAGTCTGTACCATTTCCTGCTTCTGTTGCTGTTGTTGGTTGTTGGTATCCTGCATAATTATATTGAGAATAAGCTTGGTACTGATCGTAGCCATATTGAGCATAGTATTGTGAATAGTCATATTGTTGGAATTGCTGCTCATAAAAGCTATATATCTCTAGTTAGTCATCTTGCTAATTCTCTCTCTCTCTTTTTTTTGACGATTTTACCTAGTGTAGCTAGGACTAGAGTATCTTGCTGCATACTCAGGGTTTGCCTATAGAAAATAAATTTATTATTCATCTACAGCCTTCTTTTCTCTCGCTCTTTTTCTTTCTTTTTTACCTCTGCTACTTTTTCCTCTACTAATCTTTTTGCAACAGCCAATGCTTGCGGTTCACCTAAGAGGAGATATATAAGTCCTTTTTTTTTCTTTTTAGGAACATTTGTTGCGTCTATACCTGTTATACAGACATTGCGTTCTTCTGCATTTGGATCGCCACTCAAGTCAACCTTAACTCGAGCACCTGATTGTTCTTGAAAATATCTAATCGTTTCTCCACCTCTGCCTATAATCAGTCCAACCACTGTAGATGGGATAGGCACATAAATTCTTTGATCATTTGGATTCGTCGTATGGCCAAGACCGTATGATGCAAAACGAGGTGCTGATAGCTACACACTCAAATTAGTTTTTTTTTCCAATAGTACTATAAAACTCACGTTGGGTGAACCATAAACAAGTTCTTCAATAAGATGTTTTGCATGTTGTACTGCTGCATCATCACCTAATAAAGTGATTGCTCTCTCATTGTTGATATCATTCGAACTGTCAGACGAGAGGAGGATTTTTGCTCTACTCTGCTGTTCAAACTCACGGATCGTTTCACCTCCACGACCAATCACTAATCCAACTTTTGGAACTGGTATTCTGATCGTCATCGTGTTACCGCCTGCAGCTCCTCCATAATGATGGTGATGATGATGGTACCCTCCAGCAGGGGGAGCAGTCGTAGCACCACTTCGATTCGCTTCTGTTACTTTTGCATCTTCTACCATTTGTCGAATCATGTCGCGTGCTATGCTGATTTGATCAGGCTCTCCTGCAATATAAACAACTCTCTCAGGTCCCGATGTATCTGTATTGTATGAGTAACCGTTATATATATATATATATTTTTGAATAATCTAACCTGCTGCAAATTGTACTTTGGAAACACCAGACATGCGTTCAATCTTTTTCAAATTCTCGCCTCCTTTGCCAATGAGCAATCCTACCATGTGATTAGGAACCTTGTATTCTTCTTGACGACCCGAATTCGTTCCATAATTGCTCGTTGGTCTTCGTTCTTCTGAACCTAAACCGTATCGACGAGGTTCATTTGACACATCTTGAAAAAATGTTAGCTATATACAATATATATTTTCTTCTAATTACATGATGGTCTAGAAGCACCGCTGTCATAAGCACTTCTTTTATTTTCGCGGTCATCTTGCTGATGACTGGTTGATGGAGAACTGTCTTCATAACCACGCTTTGTTCCTGAATAGACTATATAGTATCGTTTTAGTTATCAGCATCAGTGTTGCCTTTTTTGCTTTACCTGTAGAAGAGGAAGGTTGTTGTTGTGGCGGTTGTGGTTGTTCAGTTGTGGAAGCTGTAGTTTGCTTTAATTTCTCTGCAATCGCTCTTGCTCTAGAAAGCGCATCACTGAAATTAACTGGAGTTTCTTTGTCTGTGAGTGATGGCGGAGGAGGAACGGCTGAATAGTTTTTTCCTTCCATCAAGTGTATAGGAAAATCGACTCAGTAGGGCTTATATGGAGAAGAAAAGAAAAAAAAAAAAACAAAAAAAAAGAGAGACAGAAAAAGATTAAAGCGTGGTACTTAAAATTCAGCCAAAGGGACTTTTCAGAAAAGTTATGAGAAAAGTGACAAATTGGATAATAATGAAGACGACATATGACACTACTGAATATAGTTTCTCAAGTACTCATTAAAGAGTTCCCATTGCAAACGAGTTGAATACAAATATTTGATAGTTGTCATATAAAATTTATTCTACAAACAAAGTTTAGCTGTCAAACAAAAGCATCACCCTGTAAAATAGAGATACAGCAATACTGCGTGAATGCTTCTTAGTTTAACAATCGACTGAAAGAAAGCTCATAAAGAATTGCAAATGAACTAGAGTATATGTATAGGTTACAAATTGTCGTACGGAGGAAAAAAACCAACTTTGAATAGAGAAACGTTATTTGATATAATTCCCGGACGTAACGCGGAGTCATCCTGACACGTTCCCTCTCTTCGCGGGGCATATGCTTAACATGTATTTAAAGGTTTACTCTTCCCTATTCTCCTCTTCCTTTTATTATTCAATGTTTTCTTCAAGGCGTTTTTTCACTCAAACTATTCGGTTTTATTCTAGCGGTAAACCTCTTGTCAAGTTTGAAAATGCAAATGTCTATCGATTTGGTTCAAAGGAGCCTGCGTTTAAGAATCTGACATTGACATTAAACAGTCATGACCGTTTAGTCATTGTCGGACCTGTCAGTGCAGGAAAGACCACGTTGGCAGAGGTATTTATAGCGTGTGTGCGTGCAAGAAGCTTTTGGTAGTAATAATAATGTAAAATATAGACTATTGCAGGAAAGCATTTGATTCAACCTTTGTCAGCAGCTAGTTGGCCAATCATTGACAAGTCTGTATCACCTTATGCGTCAGATTATATTCATTTGGTCTCGTTCAGAGAAAGCTCAGGTAGCTTCTCTTATAGTAAACATTATTACCAAGAACGATTTAATTTCAGGTAAATATATACAAATATATGGACGCTTGAGCTTATTCTTTTAAAAAGTGACCCTGATGATGATATCACTTTGGAAAATTACTTGAACGGTGATGGAAAGTATGATGTAGAAAGGGTCAAAGAAATAGCCAAACAGCTCAATGTAGATCATTTATTACCTCTTTCCTTTTTGAAATTATCAAATGGTCAAACGAGACGTGCGAGAATAGCAAAGGCGCTTTTAAAGAACCCCTCCATGCTAGTGCTTGATGAACCTCTAAGTAACATCTTGTACTTTTTTTTACATTCTTTCAGACTAACGTGACTTTTCAACAGTGGGCCTCGATGTTGAGCATCGTCAGCACCTGCTTGATGTACTCGGTGACTTGACCATCAAATCCTCTGTTCCCATCGTTCTCGTGCTCAGACCACAAGACGAATTCCCATCATGGGCAACAGATGTCGTCGAGCTTCAAGACATGGCTATTGGCTGGAAGGGAAAGCCAAAGGAGTTCCAAATCAGGCGTGAGGCCAACAAGAAAAAGACGGAAAAAGCAAGAGAGTGTCTAGAAAAGCAGACAGATACAAGTTCAAATGAGCCTGTTGTAGAAATGAAAAATGTCAGAGTCTCTTACGGCGGCAAACCTATCCTTCAAGATATCACCTGGACCGTTCGCAAGGGCGAAAGATGGGCACTTTTAGGACCCAATGGTTCAGGAAAGACGACACTCTTGGCATTCCTGACAGGTGATCATCCCCAGGCTTATGCCAATGATCTTTCTCTCTTTGGAAGACGTCGTGGCACGGGTGAATCTATCTGGGAAATCAAGCAGAGAGTAGGCATGGTAAGCCCTGAGATTCATCTCTATTTTAATCAAAACCTGTCAGCTTTGGAAGCAGCAGGTACAGGATTCTTTGATGTTGTTGTTCCCCGGCCGTTAAATGATCAGCAAACGAGCCAGATCAAGAGTCTCTTTTATGAGTTTGGCATAGAGAGAATGCTTCACCATAAACTCAGAGATATGTCTACGGGTGAGCAACGTATGGTTTTGCTCATTCGATCTTTGGTAATTTTATTTGTTTTTTGTTTGTCTTTTTTAGTAATGACATGCATTATAGGTAAAAATGCCAGATTTAGTCATTTGGGATGAACCCTTCCAAGGCCTGGATGATACATTGATAGATAATGTCAACAGATGGTTAGAGAATCATATGCGTCAAGATCAGACATTGATCATGGTCACTCATCATGAAGAAGAGATACCAGAGACAGTAACAAAACGGTTTAAACTTGGATCAGGCGGCGTCCAAGCCAACTAATGGTTTTATTTACAAGTATTGTGTTATTATTATTTACATATGTGTATGTGGAATATATGCGGAATCAGTCTCATGATGTTTAATCTTGATGATATTGTCTGTGCCAATCTTTGAGCTGTTCCAAGACGATAAATGTGACAATGGTATGAGGTCCTAATCTAATAAATGCTGGCATCCATCCACGAAAGAGTGAGCCAACCCCTTCATGCTGAACCATGTATTTCATCATCTTTAATGGTCGGCGTATATCATCTTTACCATGTGCATTCATAATTCTAGTCTTGACTACATCTAATGGAGAGCATACAGTGGTTGCTACTAAGCCCTGATATAAAATAATCAGCATATCTATACATAGTTGTCTATCTATGTGTAACTTACAGCTAATAAGCTAGATACGAAATGAGTCGTTAATCCATTTTGAAGATCGAGTTGATCTATACACATCTGTTTGAATACATCATAACTTGTCATCTGAGATACTGTAATCAACACGGCTCGGTTCGTGCTTGAACCTAAACCCCGGAATAACGCCTGAGGCCCCTCTTCTCGACATATCCTGACCATACCGTCGATCACATTTTTGTAATTTCTTCTCTTATTGGGCGGTAATTGTCCATCATTCTGCATACGTACATTCACCACATCGCTTGGATTACCAAATGCTCCTCCCAAGACACCTGCCATAGTTGAACAAAATAACAATTGCCTCATGGTGGGTTCTATTATTACCGGTTAGCCATATCTATTTTATCATCATTATATCATCATCTTACTCGCATCACCAGCCACCGCGTATTTAAATTTATCGTATAAACCAAACCGAATGGTAGAATATGTTCCCTGTCTTAATAAACTGGCTGATAGTCCACCATACAAGGCTAATACACCTTCTTGACGACTAATAGTCCACATCGTCTTGACCATTCGAATTGGACTCAGTAACTGAATCTCGGACCAAATACTCTTATTTGTATCTAGACGAAGTGTTTGAAGTCTGACCTTGGTGAGATCAAAGGGATGAGACACTAGGGTTGCGATGCATGAGGCAGCTCCACCAAACCAAAACGGTGACTGAAGTACTTTTTTGGTTGTCTTTATACTGTTATTGGTTATAATAGTATTAGAATTGCCTGTTGTTGTTGACGGTGATATTCTAGTGAGAAGCATGCTATAAAAAAAAAGAGAGAGAGATAACAAGCAATTTTATTTTTCTATTTTTTTTTTTTGCGGGGTAATTGTGACTGCGTTGTAGATCAAGAACCAAACATCATCATGTAAATATAATGCAAGTTTATAAAATTTATTTACTAATCTTTTCAGTCAATTCAGGAACAGCCTTGAACAAGTCATCAACAAGTCCATAATCAGCAACTTGGAAAATAGGTGCATCTGCATCCTTGTTGATAGCAACAATCGTCTTACTATCTTTCATACCCGCAAGATGTTGAATAGCACCAGAGATACCTAATAATTCAAAGTTTTGTAAAACCTACCCTTCATTTTTTTTCCCACGATGAAAACTTACCGACAGCAATGTAAAGTTCTAAGAAGGAGAAAAAAAAAGTAAGAAAGACGTAAAGGCTAGGACTTGCTTCTGTCTACTTACCAGGTGCAACGATTTTACCAGTTTGACCTACTTGCAAAGAGTTGTCGACGAATCCAGCATCAACAGCAGCACGAGAGGCACCGACTATGAATGTTTGTCAGCTCATCTTTTATATTCTCACAGGCACGTGACGTATTTACCAGCTGCACCAATCTTGTCTGCTAAATCATACAACAACTTGAAGTTTTCACCATTCTTCATACCACGACCACCACTGATCACACGTTTGGCACTTCCAAGATCAGGACGGTCACTCTTTTGAATCTCTTCGCCTTCCCATTGAGTCAAGCCGAGCTTTTCAGAAGAAGAAACAACTTCTTCGGGGGCAGCATCTTGAGTGGCAGAGGCGGCTTCGAAAGCAGTTCCACGGACAGTAATGACCTTGACCTTATCGTTAGTCTTTACAGTAGCGATGGCGTTACCTAACATGACACTTTTAATTCAGCGATTCTATACAATACACAAACACATTACCAGCATAGATGGGACGAACAAAGGTATCTTCACTTTCGATGGCAGTAATATCTGAGATGGCAGCAACGTCCAATAAAGCAGCAGCACGGGGGAACACGTTCTTGCCACCAGCGGTATGGCCAGTAATCAAATGGGTAAATCCGTTCTTGGCTTGTACTTCGGCAAGAAGAGGAGCAATATCTTCAGGTAAGGCATGAGCATAAGCAGCGTCTTTGGCAGTCAACACTTTGGATACACCTTCTAACTTGGCAACCTCTTTAGCAACACCTTCAGGGGCTTCACCAGCAACTAAAGCAGTGACAGAACCACCGAGTTTTTTGGCAGCAGTCAAAGCGTTCAATGTGGCTCCACTGATTGCTCCGTCTTTATGCTCAACATATAAAAGGGTATTGACACCAGCACCCGTTGTATAGAAACGTTGAACAAGTGTTGAGCGAGTCTAAAGAAAGAAATATAATAAGCCTTTTTCCCCTTTTCCGCCTTTTTCTTTTTTTGTTTACTTGAAGAGCAATGCGTGATGTGACAGAAGCGAACATGTTAAACTGTGAAAAAAGAAACAAGAGAGAAAAGAGAGATAGAGAAGATGCCTGGATATTTAATCTCACACGCATGTTACATCTCCGACTGTTCCTGTTGTAAACGTCACTCCCATCTTGGAAATTTTACTTATTTTCACATGAAATATCATTTTACGCACGATTGCCAACTTGACATTTGCATTGTTTTGTTCAATGTCAACCATTTTGCTACTCTATTACTTTATTCTTTCTTTTTTCATAGTTAATAAGGCTTCTTAATAACTTGCAATAACTTTATTAAAGACTGTTTTATGATATCGATGGTATATATGCATGTAAAAAGGCTGATAATATCACCATTGCCTGACAGGGCGTCTCTAGCCAATACTATATTTTGATCAAAAGAAATCATCTTTCAGCCTTCTTTATGATAAATCAGATCGTATACAAGTTTTGCATAAACACAAATGTGGCCTATCCCCTTTATTTTTTCAGCGATAATACTCGCCTTTTGAGATATCCATGCACTGGCAAAACTAGCATTAATGCGTCTGACTTGATCACTTCATATTTTCATGTTTTCTTCAATAAAAATGTTGAATGGCAAAAACTTTAGACATTATCTCGAAAAACCTAGTAAGCATTATTGTAGCATGTTACAGTAAGAGCAATGGCACGAAACGAAGATTAAGGATGTGAGTATAACCCTCAGGGCCGTACTTTATTATTTGGTCCTCTTTATACCTTTCTGTCATATTTAAACATAAAACTCATAATACTTTCTTGCATAAAGTATCTCATTATATTAAAACCGTAAAAAAAAGGACATGGTTGCTTGCACATAAGCGTTAGTTTCCTCCCTTATTTCCTGTCTCATCTTTCTTTAGATCTAACAATTTTGTCAAATATACCTTTTAGGTAATCTTTAATATTGGCTTCATAGTAGTCCATAAACTAAAAAAAAGCGTTTCTATTATAATTTATGTTTTAAGCTGAAAATAAAGATGTTGAACCAGATCAAGTGCATTTTATAATCGCTTTCATAGCCGAAGAGCTTTTTCTTCAACATGGAGCGTTCACTTTAAGCCTAAAACGCGCTTAAAGTAGGACATCTCAATACTGACAATTCTACCTGCAACATTGATATGCCTATCTCCTAGATTACACTATAATAAGGACTAACTAAGCTCACTAGTGTTTATAAGATCCACGTTTCAAATTAATAAAGATATTTTGTTCAATTTTTCTGTACATTACCGTATCGACTTTTTCGACAATCACCACAGATACGCTTTTTACGCATTCTCATAAAGATAACCGATTAGTTTAAGCACAATGATGACCCCTTTCTGACCTCTTTATGAACGGTCATTGTCCTGTTTTGTTTTGCCAACAAGCTGAAGCAGACTACTACAATAGTGTAGTAGAATGTAAAAAGCTGGGCTCTGGGTATCGGAGCATCGGATGTCATGGTACATATTCGAATTTTTATTTAGATCTCCCTATTAACATAACCGTGTTCTTGTATAGCCTTTGCAGAAACAAGATATCATTTGGTTGAACAAAGCTTTTAGAAGCAACCTAAGCAACGAATTATCAGTGCTTAGATGACACGGTTCATTTTGCCTGCTGACGTCTGAATGGGTTTTACGCTCCAGGGTTAGTGTAAAGTTCGCATAATATCTTATTTGTGCTCACGTTAAACTGATTTTGATTCTTCTTTATATTGGAAAGAATGACAACATCTTAATTGATGAGTTGAACCAAAGCTTACTATCATACTTGAAATCCAACGCTACTAACAGTCATTTCTGCAGATATCACGACCTTAACACAAAGGAGCAGTGCTAGGTTTTCATGACGTATCTGTGTAACATTTCACATGTCGGATTGTAAATTATTGATTTTATATAAAGGGACAGTAATACGACCAATGCCTTTTTTTTCCCTTCATCTACTTTATCTCAGGCGTAGCAAATAATTAACTACAAAACATCACAACTGTTATAGATGTCAGTGATGTATACCAAAATGAAAGGTGATATGGATTGCGCAAGTCCCAGGCAATTTTGATCGCCACTTTATTCAACGTAAGCCCTTTTGATTCGAAATCCATTGCTCATGGTACCTCCCTTGATGACATATTGCAGAACGCACACAAGAATTAGAAAGAGACGGTCAACATGCTTCTCAAAAGTATAATGAAGACAAGCAACCCAGAAAAGATAGCAGCCTATACCATATCATGGCATTTCGTTAAGCTGCATATGGAGAAGAAATTTAGTGCTTTTGAGAACGAATCGGATTTGTCAGAAGATGACTTTGTAGTCAAGATCTGGAAGCCGATATTGGAAGCTTTGTTCTCTGAAACGTGCGTAGTGTTGCGTTGGGATGGCGCTCTGTCACAAGTGGCGCAAGAAGGGGAAATGGCTCGCCGAAGAATGGACCTTCGCTTCCGCTGCTCTTCTGGGAATTCAAATGATGTCAGTGATGCCGGGTTTGGGAAGAAGGCCTGTGTAACAAAGCTCTATTATGACAAGAAAAAACTCATGACCAATGAGAAGGCACAGCTAAATTAGATCGCCTCATTCAACAGCAGTGATGCTTGTGATATTAGACTTTACTTGGTGCAAATTCTTGGATTTGAAGCCGTCATATATGAAATGTTTTTGGAGAGGAAAAAGGTGTATGTTCTCAGGAAGGCAAGGGAATCCTCTGTTCCTATTGCTGCAAGAAGGATCAGAAATGACAGCGGGAGGTTTTTCGAAGGGCTTTCGAGCTCTCTATTATATATCATGATAGTCTGAAGAAGGGAAGAATGAGCCGCGTCGCCTACGATAATCGGCCTGCCCCTATCACCAGAATGTCACCATCAATAGCTACTATCATATTCTACGTTGAATAAGGGTCAACAGTGTCTATACATCGACAACAAAAGCTCAGCAACACAAACTGTCCAATCACAATCATAATTACAATTTTATATAGTAAGCATAACTATCAATTTTACTACCTTCATCTTTATTCTTTTAAATAAAAGAAACATAAAGAGTCCCATTGTACTTTCTGTCTATTCTCACTACTACTACAGCAAATATAACTACTATAACAACTACAGAGTAGACTTTTTCTTTTATTTCTGTCTTGTGTCTTCATTGGAAGCTAACATAATTAAAAAAGCTTTTTTATTGTCACTACAAATTACTCCCTTTCTCATTCCTGTATTTTGTATGTATTTTATCATTCATACCCTTGTTATTATTGTTATTGCCTCTTATTGTAGCCAACATTATGACCACTATCGCTTCATCTATGTGTCAGAAGGCTTTACATTTAGTTTTATGGTTTTATAGATTTACAAAGATAAGCGTTTATTTTTAAAAGTTAGTTATGCAGATAAGTGTAAATTATGGCAGCTGTTGAATAAAAAAGACACTCCTACTGTAGCTTATTACTTTACCTGTTTATCACAAGTATACTTACATATTTAACTATAGCATTGTCTTGCCCATTTTGTAAGCATATACTAAACACATCAGCGACAAGTTGGGCATAACTAGAGATAAGTATTCAGGAGCAAGAAGAAATAGAACTTATGATATTTACTCCACACAACCATTGATCTTCTATCAATTAATTGATCTACTTTCAATGTCTTATTCTACAGCATAGTAAACGTGTACAAGCACTTTCTTCTTAAAGTATAGTATATTTTTATGTATTTAATATCATGGTATGCTCAATAAAGTATGTCATCTTACATAATTACTGTATATGAATATGAATATGACAAAAAATGAATCAAAGGGTAACATCCCACCTTTAACTTCTCTTCACCCGTGATTAAGGAGGTGACGATATACCATAAAAGGAAATCAAGGATGTGACGTTTAATTTTTTCAATTTTTAAAATAAACTTTCTTAATTTGGATATACGGAGCTTACAAATACGTCATTTGTAAATCAGCCTTAGCTTTAAATGGCAAATTGAAACTCAATCTTTCTGTATTGTGTTAAACTCTTTGTTTTGAATAAATATGCGATTCCTGCTTTTTCTTTTTTCTTTTTTCTTTTTTCTAGTTGTTTGTTGTAGATGATATTCATATACTATTTGCTATTATAAATCATACACGATTTACTCACACAGTAACAGCCGAAAAGGAAATCGTTATTATAGAAATACAGTCAACACAACAATAAATATACTTTATAGAATACAGAAAATATATAAAAAGATTAATTATAATGTCAAGGTATTATCACAATCACTGTAAAAGGCGATCAATTAATATATGTTTAATAGCAATGGAAGCACCAGAGATTCTGCTACATCAAAATATCATGCACAGTTATATTCTGGCCAGAAACTATTACAGAGAAGACAGCTACAACAACAACAGCAGCAACAACAACAACAACCACAACCACATAATTATGATTCCTTCTTTAATGCAAATAAACCAATGTCAATCAATAGTAAAATAATATCATTTGAAGCACCCAACCTATATCAGACATCCTTACAGCTAACTACTGAGATTGATATCCATGCTTGGTGGTCTGCTCTTGTTAATATATTCTCTAGTAACAATCATAATAAAGAAAATAATAAATGGCTTGTCACTAATTTAATGTCCATATATCATCAAAAGGTACTTCGTTTCACGCTACCCGTGTGGCCTTGAGTATTCCTCAAGACTCAAACGACCCTTACTCAGGTCCTTGGGGCTTAAAAGCAGTCTACAACAAAACAGGATCCATCAGTCAGGAATCAGAAAGTGGAACTACAGAATCAAGTACAGAAGACAATAAGGATGACGAGACAACGTTTGATTACTTTTTGCACAGTCATCGTATTCACGAAACAGGTCCTCATCATGTCCCTTGGTGTTTTGAAAGATTACAACCATTTGAATCTGAACCTGAACCACTCATCAACAATCCAAGTGTACAAAAAATATTGAAACGAAACACTGTTGTTGTCTTATCAAGAGAATATCGCCGAAAGTCGTCCTCATCTATAAGAAAAAAATATGGAAGTGATGAATGTAACATTGACTTGTTCAAAAAGGCGTTACTTGACCAAAAGGGCGAAAAAGGCAGCCCTTACCCAGTCACTAGGCGAAGGTCCGCCTGGTCCTTACCTGTCATCACCACCCCTTGCCTATCACATAAGGGTGAGATCCTTGTCGATGGCTCAAGCTGCGTAGACGTTGACGATGACGACATGACGTCAAATAGCATGGCTAGCTCTAGCACATTTCTTCAAGATTATGACGAATACGAGCAGCAACAACCCTCCCCTTGGTCACAGTCTCCTGCCCCTTCTCCCGCCATTATGGATTCGGAAGTCAATCCATTTTTTCAATCGCCTCCTGATATAGATGACGATGCTTTCAATCCTGTGTCGCCAGAAGCTTGCTACGACAAATCTTCACTGCCTTTCCCTCCTCCTATTTCAAATGTACACTCCATTGTTCACGTTCCCTTATTTCATCCGTTAGACGTCATTCAATCACAAGCTCCTTCAGCAAAACATCACATGAATCCATCACCCATTGGCATTTTATCTTTCTTGGCGCCTATCGTACCTTATCCTCAGGTTCTCTTGGCCAGTCTTACTTCTTTGGCTCCGTTCATAGCTGCCAGCTTGACCAACGCGCTACAAAACTACCATATGAAAAAACAAGGCGAGATCTATAGAAGATACTCATCAAATGATGGCAATCCCCAAAGTGCCGATTCCAACGAACTGCCTCGACGATCTTCTGCGACTTCGACGAATCGAGAAGATGAAGAAGAAGACGAAGATGATGACGATGAACAGAGTTTGATAGACTTGGCCAATGTGACGCCTACGCTTGAAAAGAGACCTGACCATCTAGGCTCCATGTCTAATTTCACTCGTAGTTCACTTGAAACAGTCACCGAGCAGAAACTGACGCCGATGAACGAGATACCGATGGACATGGAGTTTGATGATAAAAAGGCTCTATCGCCTTCCTCCACAGCTGTGATTGAAGGTTGGGGCGCCATTTCGCCTACCACTGGCTTGCCTATTTCGGCTTCTATACCGCCTCACACACTGTGCAGTGATAAAAGTTGTATCAAGCATCACTCTAGTAGTAATAAACTTTCCAGAGAAAGGACTCCACCTTGTCTGTCTAACAATATCATCATGGATGGCGCTATTGCAAGTAATAACAATACCCCATCTACGGATGAGGAAGGTCGGATTATATCAAAGACAGACACAGATTATCTTTCATCCTCTGTCGAAGCAAAACATGCCAAACGGCTTTCACATCACAACAAGAGAGCAAGAAGAAGAAGGCGATCAAAGCGACACAAGAAACACGCTTACAGATACTATGAAGATGATGGCTTTCATTACCACAGTTCAAAAAACACCAAGGAATCTCTTGACAAGTTCTTTGTGGCTCCCAAGTCAAGTTTGCTACGATTGATTATTGATGGAATACCCATTCATGTGTTGTAAGTTGCTTTTATTTGTCTTTTTATGCTTTATTGACTCTTTACATTAGTACTTGCTCCCCCATCTCTGGTCAAGTAACATGGGTGAATAACCGAATGTTACAGTATACGGGCGATTCATTAAAAGATCATTTAGGCCCTAGATGGCTTTCTCATATGCACCCTGATGATCAACCCGAATGTAGAAAGGCATGGGAAGTCGCTTTTGAGCAAGGAAATGGGTTCGCTGGCGAGTACAGACTGAGACGATTTGATGGTGTCTATCGCTGCTTTCTTTGGCGAATTGTTCCTTTAAGAGACATGAAGGGAAAGATCATTCATTGGTTCGGCACATGGTATAATTTTGTTTAATATAACATACCACGTGTTACTAACAAAACTACAGCACAGATGTTCATGATCAGCATCTGGCCAAGGAGAGCAATATGCGTCAGATGGAGATTGAAAGCAATGAACGTAAATATAGACTTTTGGCAGAAGCCATTCCACAGATCGTCTTTACCTTCTCTCCGGGCGCTGGATTGACGTATACGAATGGCAAGTGGAGTAGTTACTCTGGCAAATCGTTTGATCAGACCATGGGCCTCGGCTTCATGTCCTGTGTTCACCCTGAAGACAGAGCAAAACTGCAATTACCCGACTTACCTACGCTACAACAGAGTAAAGCTGGTATCATGTGGCAAACAGAGATTAGGCTATTGAGTTACAAAGAAGAGTATCGATGGTTTTTGGTGAAGTGCGTCTCTGTAGACGAGCTGGACACGGGAGACGTCCGCTGGTTCGGTACCTGGTAAGTCTACTTTAAACCATATATATCATTACTAATGAAAAATATCAGTACGGATATCAATGACCATAAACTTTTAGAACAAAAATTAAAGGAGGCTCATGATGCAGCACAGAGATCAACAGAAAGTAAAACAAGGTTCTTATCCAACATGTCGCATGAGATCAGAACCCCCTTGATCGGTATCACTGGTATGCTCAACTTTTTGCTCGACACAGAGTTAACTGCAGAGCAAACGGATTATGTACATACGATTCAACAGTCTGCCGAATCGCTCTTGGTAGTGATCAATGATATCTTGGATCTTAGTAAGGTTGAAGCAGGCATGATGAAATTAGAATGGGAGCCGTTCAGTTTGGTGACCATGATCGAAGATGCGAATGAACTCATGTCAACACTGGCTATCCAGAAAAATCTAGAGCTTAGCTTCTGGATAGATGATGATATACCTGATGTTATTGTGGGTGATCGAGTTCGATTAAGACAGGTTCTTTTAAATTTAATTGGCGTAAGTGTTTTCCTTTGTCAGTTGTTTGCTCTTTATTGACTTTATTTGGCAAAAAGAATGCCATCAAGTTTACTACAGAAGGAGAAGTGTATACTAGATGCGCTGTGAATGAATGGAATAGAGAAGAGAATGAACTTACTTTGCTATTTGAAGTGATTGATACAGGCACTGGATTTGATGCTGATGATGAATCGGTCATGTTTAAACCATTTTCACAAGTAGATAGTTCTGTAAGTTTACTATTGTCACATAGATGTATAAAATTTACTAAATATAATTCAGAGCACACGCAAGCATGGAGGCAGTGGTCTTGGCCTCGTTATTTCAAGACAGCTTATTGAGTTACATGGTGGTAAGATGAGCTGTAAGAGCGAAAAGGGTAAAGGTTCTGTCTTTTACTTTACTGTCAAATTCAAGATTCCAACCTCCAAGACGAGACCACAACCGCACACGCCAAACAACGAAACGAATTATGACCCTTTCTTTAGAACGCATGGGTACGGTAACGCAGCTATGCTAAAGCACCATCAAGAGAACGATGATTCTCCTGTGACATTTATCAATACAAAGCAGCTTGCGAATGATGACAACAGCCGGTTTATACCCTCGCCCATGGCGCATTCCAAGAAGCACAGCCAACTGTCAGAATCGCCTGCCGCTAATCCTGCAGAGATTTTACAGGATGTGCTCATGTCCAAGACGTCAGCTATGCAACTTAAGCCTCCACCTATTCGAAATCCTATTGCTGCTGCTGCTGCTGCTGCTGCTGCAAGTAGTTCTAGTAAACCCATAGCAGAGGCTATCATGAAAGCATCGCCTCCCAAACAAGAACTAATGACTCCTGTGATCAAGCCTGATAAGATATCATCTGAGCTCCGTATTCCAACGATTGGAACAGGCTCTGGTCTAAACTCTCCCAAGAACGTTGTCATCTTGCCTCCTCGCACGCCAACCATTGCCTCACCCTTACGTGCGCTCATTGTCTCGCAATGGAAGCTGTCGGGACAGTCGATGATGAAGCATGTCAGTTCAATCTTAAGCAGCATCGTCTCTCGACCAGACGGAAGTAAAGATCATCATTACCAGATTGATATAGCTCCCAGTCAGATAGAAGCAATGGAAAAACTAACTGACCCAGGCACACCTCCTTATGACTATATCATGATCAACTTGTCTTCAGAACAGCAAATACTGCTACTGACGAAGGCTATCTGTGGATCGTTAAACCAACAACAGGCGAATGCACTTGTCGTTACCACGCCGATACAAAGATCTCAAATTACAGAGAGCGCCAAAGGCAGAGAGGACGAGGTCATTCCGAAAAAGTGTGGTTTTGTATTCAAGCCCTTGAAACGGTCAAAGCTGCAGTGGTATTTTGGCGTCAGGCAACAGAATGAGATGAAGCAATCCAATTCAAACACAACGACGTCTGGTACATCAACAACGCTCACTATTACAAGCAATATAGCAACACCTGATACACCCTATAAACGAGCCGCTACTCAGAAGGAAATATTCAAACGTATGAATGATGATGTGGGAAGTAAAGGATACAAGGTGCTGCTTGTTGAAGGTAAATCATAAAGCATCATAGGAGGACACTGTGTGAGTCTAATATATTTAAAGATAACTTGGTGAATCAAAAAGTATTGACAAGATATTTGACAAGAGTGGGTCTAAGTGTTGATATCGCTGTACATGGACAAGAATGTATAGACTTATTTTTAAAGCACCCCAAGGGCTATTACGATCTCATCCTCTGTGATTTATTTATGCCTGTGAAAGGTAAGCATTTTGACGTGCTTTTGACGTTATGTGTAACACTTGTTCTAGATGGGTACGAGACAGCAAAGGAAATAAGAGAATGGGAAAAACAGCATTTGAAAAAGGACGAAGAGCCTATTCCAATTATAGCATTATCAGCTAATGTGATGAGCGACGTGGCGGATAAATGTTTACAGTGTGGATTTTCTACTTATATTTCAAAGCCTGTAAATTTTGCTGTCTTGAGTGATGTAATCAGAAGTTTCCTATTAGATAAATAATAAATAAAAAAAACATTTTTTCTCTCTTTTTTTTTTTGTTGTGACCCATGTCTTTTCTTGCATTAAAAAGTTTCTCCAAATCAAAGGTTCCTTCCCTTTATGCTACAACAAGTGTTGTAAGTTTACAAGCATACTCTTAAAAAAATTCATGCTGATTCTTTAAAGTGTTTTATGCGCAGCTTAAAAACAGCAAGCAACCCAGCTGCTATCGCTAATCCATCACCTCCACCTTATGAACCACACAAGAAAACGCCTAAATACAAGTCTTTTGAAGTGTATCGATGGGTAAACCACGTCTTGCACCAAGTTTGATAGACTAATCGTACACGCGTATAAATAGAACCCCGATCGACCTACAGAAAAGCCTATACTCAAAACGTTCAAAGTGGATTTGAATTCATGCGGTCCAATGGTACTTGACGCTCTTATCAAAATCAAGAATGAACAAGATTCTACCTTGACTTTTCGTCGCTCCTGTCGTGAAGGCATCTGTGGTTCATGTGCTATGAACATTGGTGGTATAAACACACTTGCCTGTATTGCTAGAATCGATCCTGATATATCAAAACCACTCAAGATTTATCCTTTGCCTCACAGTAAGTTGTTTTTTACACATAGGATAAAAAACTTGACCACTGCTTCTAGTGAACATTATCAAAGATCTTGTACCTGACTTGACGCACTTTTATAAGCAATATAAAAGCATTGAACCTTATTTAAAGCAAAGGACATCTCCTCCTCCTGACAGAGAAAATTTACAATCGATTGAAGATAGAGACAAGTTGAATGGTTTATATGAATGCATCTTGTGCGCTTGCTGTTCTACTTCTTGTCCATCTTATTGGTGGAATCAAGAAGAATATCTCGGTCCGGCTGTATTGCTGCATTCCTACCGCTGGATGGTCGATAGTCGTGATCAATATGGTAAAGAGCGCAGAGAGAGGCTGCAAGATAAGATGTCGTTATATCGATGTCATACTATCTTGAATTGCTCAAAGACTTGTCCAAAGGGACTCCAGCCAGGAAAGGCTATCCAACGAATTAAAATGCTCATGGCAACAGAGTAGAAGCATATCCTGCTCGTATTTAAATAAAATGTGTCTGTTTCTCTCCTGTTTTGTTGCAATTGTAAATATGTGCTGTTTTTGTGTAAAAAAGAATACTAGATACACAGTATATTTTCACAGCTTTCAAAAAGTAAAGATATGGCTAAAGGAAACTTGTCAGTTAATCCTTTGACATTGTAAGTCGAAAGATGACTATTGACACCGTTTACTGTAATCAAACATAGTATAATAATCTTTACATGTCCTTGCCTTAAGAAGAAAAAAACAGCCTAATGTATGGAGTCTATTGTGTATTCATGTATTTTATGCATCTTTCTCTCATTCGCTTGAAACAAATATCATTGAAAGGAGGGAAAAGCTAACTCATGGTAACTAAAGCAAATAAAACGCGTCTTTTTATGCTCGATTACAAAGGCTCAATTTATTTACACATTAAATAAAATTACATATATTACAGCAATTACTTGGCGTTTTGCTTGATGCTTTCACCAGTTTCTTTAACCTTTTCACCAGCCTTTTCTTGCAGTTCTTGACCCTTTTCCTTGGCATCACCAAGGCGCTTTTCGCCTTCCTTCTTTGCTTCACCAGCCTTCTGCATAGCATCATCCTTGGTCTGTTCGTACTTTGATTTGGCTTCATCAGCTTTACTGCCGACGGTTTCCTTTACATCATGCTTGGACTGCTCGTACTTTGACTTGGCCTCGTCAGCTTTACCACCAACAGCTTCCTTTACATCATGCTTGGACTGCTCGTACTTTGACTTGGCCTCGTCAGCTTTACCACCAACAGCTTCCTTTACATCATGCTTTGCTTGATCATATCTATCTTTTGCTCCATAGGCAGCCTGTACAGCACCATCCTTCATATCGTCATATTTTTCTTTAGCATCGTGCTTGGCTTGCTCATATCTGTCCTTTGCACCATGAGCAGCTTGCAAGGCCTCATCCTTGGTTTCTTGGTATTTTTCCTTGACTTGGTTCACCTTGTCTTGGACAACGTCAGCCTTGTTATCTTTGGCCTTACCAGACCTACTGTAAAGGTAATAGGCGACACCACCGGCAGCAGCTAAAGCGAGATAAACACCGTTGCTGTTGGACGATCTGTTTTGTTCGGGATGTGTAGCATAAGTGCGCTTGAGAGCTGGAGCACGAACGACTTGACGGGATTGTAAGAGAGATTTTCTAAAGATGAAACTAGACATGTTGATATATAAATGAGAATTAAACAAGGTCTCAATTCAGTCGAAAACAAGCAAGCATTTTTATACTTTCAAAACGCGTAATGACACTATGAGATCATTTCGTGTTCCGCTTAAAGCAGACTGACGTAAATCTTACACATTTCTTTGTCGTATCATGGACAAACCACCAATTGAAAATGACGTTATCAGTTTTGCTCTTTTTTTCTTCTTTATAGAATGAGAAAAGAGAGAGTAGACAAAAGAAGTAAAGTAATCCGGATAAACATTGTGAGAATAAGAACGATACACAGAGATAGTCTTCTTATGGATTTCAATTGAAGAAAGGTTTCAATACAATTGAGTGCTATATTTAGTCTCAGGTAGCTTTTGGAGAGATAGAGAAGGGGATATTGTTAGCATTGTTCAGTGTAACACAACTCAATTCTACAACCCTAAAAATAATGAATTGATAAATTTTATTGAATGTACGCATGCTGTTCGACTAGAAAACGACTTAAAAGAGTTTTTTATCATAAAAAATTATTCTATATTATAATATTTGTAATCAATTGAAAAGAAGACCCCGTCGAAAACCATTCACTACAAGAGGATCTTAATGCCATAAAAGATTGGCTAGGCCGTTCCGATTACGTCACGTCTGAGATCTCTCTTTTTTTGTTCAGCACGCGCGCACACACACACACCGTGTGTGTATGTGTATTTTGACTGTATTTTATACCCTACGTTTTCTCTCTTTCTACTCCCCTTTGTCTCGAAACCTAATATACTCTTTACTTTACTTTTTACAAGTCATATTATATAATCAATGAGCGCATATGAAGCTTTTTCTTTGTCAAAAAAGGTTCAATGAGCCAAAAAAAAAAAAAAAAAAACCAACACCATTTTCTTATTCTCCTTTTTTTATATAGCTTAGCACTGTGACCTCTGAAGCAGCTCGATTCTTTTCAAATTACAAACTAAATTCACCTTCAATAAGAAGATTATCAACTACTGCTCGACTCTCTCAAGATTATAAACAATGGATCCTAACTAAAACTGCGGTAACTGATGAAAACATTAAAGCATACAACCAGTGTTGACATTTTAGGTGCCCAATAAAAAAGGCTGATCTAAACCGTGTTAGCAAGCACATGTTGGACAGTACTCATATACTCAAGGTCGATCCTTCAGCAGACACCACTCGCATAATACCCATGGTTCAGCGTCGTACAATATTTTCAAGTACAGGGAGCAATAGTAGCCGCATAATGGCTTACCGCAGACTAAGCAAGTTAGAGCAAGAAGCAAACGCATTTCCTCAGGATGTTGCAAGACAGGCAGCTTTATACAAGGTACCTTTTTTTTATTTATAACTTGTAACTCATTTTGTTTTTAAGGAATGGTTAAGAGCCAATAATCCTCAAGCAGTCATTGCAAGATTTGAACGTGGCAATTTTGCTCAAAATGAAGAATGTTGGCAATACTATATCGCAGCTTTAGCTCAAACAGGAAAAGCAGATGCCATATGGACAAAGATTTTGCAAAAGCTGGAAGAAGGTACGAAAAATCTGACAGAAGGAGGAAAAAGCACGTTTGGAGGAGGTATTCCCAAAGAAGTCATTCAACAGGCAATCGCAAGTCGGCAAGGTGGACGAGCTATCGTGTCAGAGGGTGGTACGATCGCAGCCGGATCGGGGAACAAAGCAAACCCGATCTATGTTGTTGTCGAAGAGGCACGGAAATTTATGTTTTGGAAAGCCTTACGTTGGGTTGGCGTGACATTGACGTACGCTTTTTGTATCTTGACCATCCTTTCGCTTGCTCTCGAAAACTCTGGGCTACTCAAACCAGCAACTACACAGGCCGAGTATGAGCCTGTGACCCATACGACTGTCAAGTTTGAGGATGTACAGGGTGTAGATGAAGCAAAGCAGGAGTTGGAAGAAATTGTTGAATTTTTGAAAAACCCTCATCGATTTACTGAATTAGGAGGTAAACTCCCCAAGGGTGTCTTGCTCACAGGCCCACCAGGTACAGGTAAAACCATGCTGGCGAGAGCTGTTGCTGGTGAAGCTGGTGTGCCATTTTTCTTTATGAGTGGAAGTGAATTTGATGAAATGTACGTGGGAGTAGGCGCAAGAAGAGTGCGTGAACTATTTGGTAAGAAAAAAAGATTCATATCCTCATATAGAATCTAATGTATAATATACAGCCGCTGCAAGAGCAAAAGCACCTAGTATCGTATTTATTGACGAAATTGATGCTATTGGATCAAAAAGAAACCCAAAGGATCAATCATACATGAAACAAACCTTGAATCAACTGCTTGTAGATCTCGATGGATTTTCTCAAACAGAAGGTGTTATTTTCATTGCTGCAACGAATTTCCCCGAGCTTTTGGACAAGGCGCTTGTTAGACCTGGACGATTTGATCGACTTGTGAACGTGCCCCTGCCTGATGTCCGTGGTCGAATTGAGATTCTGAAACATCATATGAAAAAGATTCAAGTGTCTGAAGAAGTCGACGTGAGCGTCATTGCCAGAGGAACACCAGGATTTAGTGGTGCTGACTTGGCTAATCTTGTCAACTTGGCTGCTATTCAAGCGAGTCGTGAAAATTCAAAAAAGGTAACTTCACGCCATTTGGAACACTCAAAAGATAAGATTATCATGGGGGCTGAACGTAGATCAGCTGTTATTACTGAAGAAAGCAAGAGGTTGACGGCCTATCACGAAGGAGGCCATGCATTAGTAGCCTATTATACACCTGGGGCTATGCCTTTACATAAGGCGACCATTATGCCTAGAGGGGCTGCCTTAGGCATGACTGTGCAATTACCAGAAATGGACAAGGTACATGCAAGTGTTCTGGTCAAGATAATGTATACTTACATCTCAATAGGATTCGTTCACCAAACGAGAATTTCTAGCACAAATCGATGTCTGCATGGGTGGCAGAGTGGCAGAGGAACTAGTGTTTGGAGAAGATAATGTGACAAGTGGAGCCCATAGTGATATTGTAAAAGCAACGGATGTAGCTAAACGTATGGTTCGGTATTATGGCATGAGTGATAAATTGGGAGCCATTAGCTTTGACAATGATGACATGCAGCTATTGAGTGCACAAACAAAGCAGTTGATAGAATCAGAAATTTCCAGCCTGATTGAAGGATCACAGAGCAGGGCCAAGCAGATCTTGACGGAGCATCGTGAAGAATTAGATAGACTAGCCAATGCGCTTGTCGAATACGAGACTTTGGATGCACAGGAAATTATAGATGTGCTAACTGGTAAACCCATTTCAAGACCTGCAGTATAAAAGGGGATATGTAAATGTGGGCGCGCATGCGTATAATAAAATGTAAATAAATTAAGGATCCTTTTTTGATCTCAGTCATCATACCCTTTTTTTCTTTTTTTTGCCAATCATGAATATAAATGACTTGTGCTCTAGCCCAATTGATAGCAGTGAAGCATCAGGATCATCAAACATGTAAATAAGTCAATTTATATACACATATATAAATATACACACTAGACATAAAAAAAGAACAATATTATTCAAACTCTCATTGTTGACAAACAAATCATGTTAGGATGACCAATTCAACCAGTCAGCCAGGAGCAGCAACGCCAACTGCAGCAGAGTTTATGGGATCCATACAGACAGTATGTTCAAATATATCAAAAAGTCAAAGAAGCTAATTTGACGGCTTTCTAGATTCAAAACCAGTGCTCTGACCTATACGACCACGTAAAATACTTACAGGCTCAACACAGGTTCATTACATTGGAAAAGCGAGAGACGATAATCAATAATTTATGCAAACTTGCAGAAAACCTGTTTGCTAATGTACAACAAACAGCAAAAGGCGTCGAAATTAATAATAATAAAGTAACAAATAACACAGAACAAGCCTTGACGATTATCAAGACAACAAGTATTCAGTCAAGTGGTGTAAATAGAACAGAAAAAAAAGAGAGAGTTCTTTTATTAAGTATATATCATTTAGGAAAATAAGCAATATGACTATGAAATTATAAGACAAGCTAGAAATAACCATCGCATATATAAATGTCATAAGAAACATGTATATATGATAATAATATGATAAAGCAACGACGGCTTATCTTTTTTTTTATATAGAAACAAAACGTACTTGGCCATAAATGTCATTCTTGCGGAACAACAGAGACACCTGAATGGCGTCGTGGCCCTGACGGAGCAAGGACGCTATGTAATGCATGTGGTCTACGTAAATATGAAATAGAAATGATCATACGATTATCTGATTGTTATTAGATTATGCAAAGTTGGTACGTAAAGGAGCAATAGGGGTTCAAACTGCAAATTACATGTTATTGGATCAAAGACAGAAAGATGACAGTGGGGCACTTGCCAATACATATGCAAAGCCTACTTTTCCTGAAAATTACCCATTTATACTCATCGATCCAAAATACGGTTTCAATAGAAATTTGGAGAGTGCAAATAGAATAGAAGCATCCTCTAGTGGCACAAGCCATAATACAAGAAAAGAGTTCAAGATTATCAGTAATTATACACCGTCCATCAAGAATGAACAAGAGTCAACAGATATGGATAGTAGCCAGCATACGACGACAACTCCACTGAGAATCTACCAGTGGAAACAGCAATAATAGAAAAGGAAAAAAAGGGAGGGAATAGACACATAGACTTTACACAACAATTTTTTATAATATGGAGGATATATATATATTTATTATTACAATATTGTTATTTAACAAGTAGCAGGAGGAGAATTAGGGTTATAGGTGACATGGAAGGTAACAGACTTTTTGGGAGCACATCCCTTGCCATTGTTAAAGATAACTAAATAATAGTAGGTACCTGTAGAAGGAGCATCCATATTGAAGGGTTTTGTGGCACCAATGGAACTTGTTGGCTCATTCTTGACCAAAGAGGCAACCTTCTTGTTATTGCTGGCATTGTAAAGATCAACCGAGACAGTGTAGCTACTGCTGGGTGGGTTGGCACCAATATCATAAGAGACTTGATAGCATTGACCGGCTGTCCATTGTAAACCAGATAAAGTAGGAGATGTGATGCGGAAACCTCTGCAGGCATCAGCAGGAGCAGCCAAGACAGTAGTAGCAGTGGCGATAATGAAGAGAACAAGAAGAGAGAACAAAGTACGAGACATGTTGATTAGATTTGAATAGAAGAGAGAAATGTGTTGATAATAAAATTCCTCTTTTCCTTTGCTATTGTATTTATATTCTTTTCGAACGCCTCTCACAGAGAAAGCCATCTTCTACATTTGGTAAACGGCTTTAAAAATAGAGAGAGAGACCTGGTCAATGTGTCCCCCCTGTACACATGACACCAATGAAATAGGCTGATGCTTTTTTAATATCATCATCCTGGGCTGAGATATGGCTTGAATAATCACCCTGTACTCTTTTCTCTAGAGACATCCTTTGATGTATTGCTCTACTTTACGACAGTAAAGAGCAAAGCTCAAGAGATTGATTTTACATTGGCACATGTAGGTTCTCACTTGTACGATCATTCCATAGCCAATTGAACATTTTTAGAAGACAGAATGATCTTATTTCAGGACTATTTTGATGTAGATGAATGCTTTCAGTATTTGACTCAGAGTACCGTCTTCACCGGTGGAGATGTCCGTGTACCCAGGAATTGGCGTACAGGCTCAGATTATGCCTCCAAGTTTTGGTTTTGCGCTCATGAATTTATCGATGAGTCAGGCTTTCGACAGATGGCAAATGCTTGCAACAGTGTATTAGAACTGTTAAAGGAGAAAGGGTCTACGGACAGAAACGAACTGGCTTCGACTCCTCTTTGAATAAACCTGTGTGTATTTTATTTATTATATTTGAGCAGTAATAATAAGGATGCATATAACAGAAGGGACATGAATAAAGAAAAAAGAATGCGTCATGGCTTACACAAGTATCGCGTATTACTTTACTGATTTGATCCCTTTATGCTCCTATAAATAAAATATAAAAAGAGAGATCATGTGAACACAAGCTTTTATTGTTCTCTCTCTCTCTCTCTCTTTCTCTCTCTTTTTTCATAGTTCAGCAACATCGTACAATGGCTTCACTAACTAAAAATAAATTCTACACTTTTTCTTCTTTATTCTCTATTAAAGAACAGCAGGCTAAACCCTTCTGATCATCTCTAAAATTAGCAAGTGAATGCTTAAAAATATCCTTTTGTAACGTCGCGTACTTTTGCATAATGTGTTACTTTTAAAAAAGCAAATGACTTTTTTTATTTTTATTTCTTATTGCTTCATTCCTGACGCGTCTTTGTGTGTGTGGCTTCGTGAGAGAGAGAGAAAGTTAGCGTATCAATCTTCGTTGGCGTCTGTGAGGAGTCGGATGGAGGGATAATCAAACACAAGCTAAAAATCAAAAGCAGATACATAAACATATTATCGACTATGTCGGGTCGTGTTGGGTCGATACTAGAAGTCAACATCGGCTCCGAAACAAGTGTGCACGCCGAGCAATTCATTCTATTCTATCCTAGAGAAAATGTAAAGGAGTTCAAAGCGTCTATTATATGATACAGTCTGATGTGAATGGCCACCGGTAGTTGATGTCTGCATTTGACGATATGAGCACATACAGACCGTGTCGTGTATCAATAAAAAGATCGCATTACATGAATCATTGGTGTCAGCTATACACTCTTTCCGGAAAGTAAATTTGCCCGTGATCGAAAATAAATGTACCCAGTCGTGAGAACAAAATTCATGCTGTACGAAATGTGAATTAGTCGTCGCCAAGAATATTTTCGTAGCATCAGCCTTGACATCCATGGATATACTGTATTTCCAAATTGAGATGTCATATTGAAACCGTTGTAATGTTATCAGAGTGATAACAAATACAAAAAGAATATGGTTCACTATCTCATTTGACAGTAATATTAACAGGTGGACTGTCTTGGAGTTGAAATTAACTTAATATTAGAAATAGCCCTCTTTAGCCTCTCTGTAAAAGTTTAAATTCTTTATTCGGTTTTTCCATGAAATCAGGACATGTAGTCATATTTGGCAATGCATATTCTTGAGTAATCACCATGTAGATTTCTCCTATTTGATATGATTTCTTTGTTTCAGGTACCTGATCCTGAAGCTTGTTTGAAAAAGAAAAACATATAAGAACCCATTTTAATTGTTTCTATTTTTTGCTTCTTGACAGCAGTTATCAAATGTCCCTCTGAGTGTTCAAAGATTCACAAATCAAAACTAACCTGTCCTCATGGCCCTTGCGCTGACTCGCTTGTCCCGCCCTCTTTGCTCTCTGATGTGTACCTGGAACGTTCCCCAATAGTTTCTTCTGACGCTCTGGGTTCTCTCTGTCCTCCGGTCCTTTTTTTTTTTGTTTAAATTATCCTGGGTAGCTATCGCTATCCTCCCCAGACTGCACCTTGGTGGTAAGTAAAACTAATATTAGGATATGTGCTCTAATACTAACATACTTTTTCTCTCTTTTTCTACATATACTCATTATCTCTCTCTCTCTCTCTTTTGACATGATGTCATTTTATTAAATAATTTTTTTTTATTTTACGACAATATTTTATAAAACTAACGTCAACAATTTATAAAAATACAGTAGCTTTCAACCTACACGATTTATCATATAACGAAAACTATGGCGTTTCAGCTACTGCTACCTTCCAAGATTGGATTGTGATTCTTCAATATAATAGCCGCTGCCCTCTCTACGTAATAAATATTCACTATCAAGGGCACAGTGGCAAGATGTATTCCAGCTCTTCAACGCCAGCAAAACACAGATAATAAGACATGGCATAGAGCTATATGTATCTATTATTTTTTGATAGCTAAATTTTGTGTGGTTTCATGAATGCACTGGAATCGGATTTAGAAGAGATAGATATTTTGGCTTTTGGTAGAAAGCATGCTGGATCGTTGACGGATATGATCAGCCAAACGTTGGCAACAACAAAACAGGCAAATAAAAGCCAGTGTGGCAAAAAATTTGTACTTGTATACGGACATTGTGAAGGCTGTTAGCCGACGAACATGAAACAAAACTTTTTAAGTTGATACATGAATAAGTATAGCGTTTAACTAGAAGAATAATGAATAAAAAATAATGCATTGTTCATTTTATACTCACCGAGACGTTAAGGAATGCACTACCGTTATAGACAGCGCATTAACTCCAGGAGCACCGTTAGTCTTTTGCAGATCTTGTGAAGGGGGGAGGACTTTCATTGCCGCGTTTTGATTTGTAAACAAAGATATTATATATATTTAATGCACTGTTCACAGCGCGATTCCACACCGTAACACAAGATTCACACTTGAGGACAGCATGTACTCTTCACTTTGATCCAGTAATGAAGATATTATTCATTTCTTTCATTTTACACTTGTTAAAGATCTGACTCATTAAGTGTTCGTCAACATAAACAAATTCGGCCCCATTAGGTTGCTTGCATTTTCGTTTGATTTCTTCAATAATACGTTTTGTAGGTGCAGCTCGTTTTCCTTTCATACTTGAACAAAAAGAGCCATTTCCGAACGCAATAATTCGCTTCTAGTTGTAGCATTAAGAATAGACATAAAGCACAATGGAGCTCTTTATGTTTCTTTTATTTGGAAGAATAAAGATGAAGGTAATAAAATTGATAGTTACGCTTATTATATAAGATTGTAACTATTACTGTGATTGGTCAGTTTATGTTACTGAGCTTTTGCTATTGATATGTAGACAATGCTTGTTGACCCTTATTCAACATAGAATACGATACAAAGACCATGTCTTACAAATATTTATGAACTTCAATACTTTTTCTAATTCATAAGTTTTCAAGTTCAATGGTTTTAACATTGTTCCCCAAGGAAGGATGTTCTTTTCTAAACTATACAATAGAAACACTGGATAAATTACGTTTTATTACTGTGTGTGATACTTACACTTTTGTAAAGAAAGGATCATTTGATTTTCTGATTAGAGACATGATATGTTTGAAAGTCGACTTCTTGACCTGGAAATAACACTTAGACTAATAGCGATTGCTATGTCGATTTCACTTACTTCAAAGCTAAAATTAAAGTTGTCTCCATCAACAGTTTTTGCAGACAATGACAGTCAGGGGCGTTTATTTGAAGCACCTTCGCTTCCACCAAAAGCTGCCATCTTTATCTTTTGAAACACGGCGGCAACCTCTGGAAGAATTTCTTCCTCTTTAAGATTGCTGTTATATTTCCAATATTCTGCAAGAAAAAAGTTAAAAATATTAAGCAAAGCAGAATCCGAATCTTTGTAAGTTAAGATGATCTCTTGGTCGGCTAGGAGTCAACTAAGGCATTGTTCCAACAAATTCAAGAATTTTGATAATGACCTATCACCTTTCGTTCCATGCTGGATAGCTAAAATATCATAGTTCAGTCTACTTGTTACTTGACACTAGACTAGTACTCACTAACGCTAATAAAAATTTCAATTCTCTTACTGTTCATATTTGATAAAAACGTAGGGTAATACTAGGAGAAACACTACATGCATTAGAAATTAGACTAATACTACTGGCGCTACCTCTACCTACTACCTATGATGTGGCCCAACGAAGCTTTCCAATCTGCAGTGTCAAACTAAACATGACTTTATAAAGTCGCTAATTTGGTTTATTTCTTTTCAAGAAGAAGAAATAAAAAAGAAATATTGTTATTTCTTTGCTCTAATTTTATGTTGTCAGTTTGATCAACAAAGAATCAAGATCAATCAACGCTAAAAAAGCAATACTCCCCAAACTGCAAAAGCTCTTTTGAAAAGCCACTGAAAGTCGTTCAATAAAACAATTTATACAATCCACCTTTCAAAGTACCGCTTGTTTATTAGCAGCAGCTTTATTTAGCTGAACTATCCTGTGCTGCTTCTTTCCTTCTTTCCAGTTCTTCTTTATTGCGATGGTTACGATAGTCTTTACTGTGCTTACAAGTCATTGTTATAGTTTGCCTTTTTAAAGAAGATCTGAAAGTCACTATAGCGATATTGTGCTTTTCACCGTAGTTTGTTACTGCAGCACGAATAGACTCTATGCTGTCAAACTCGGCTCCCTCATAAAGCTCGTGATTAAAGCCTTGAATAGCGATTAACGTTCGTTCTTCATGTCTTTCTTTACTGGGCGAAGTTATCATTGATTCTTCCGGGTCAGAATCATGATTTTCATCAAACTGGCTGTTAATACCACCAGTATTACAGCGGGGATTAACATCTTCTTCATATCTGTATCCGTTAGAGAGTGTCACATTACAATCATTGGCAATATTAGTAGTAAGATCAATAAAATCGCATTCTTGACTTATGGTATACTAGCTTGTTTAATAAAATAAAGGCACGATAAACTTTAACTTTGTCTTGAATAATGCTGAAAATACATGTCCGGTAAACGAACATTTAATTTGGTGTTTAAATATTTTTGCAGTTTGGAGGAGGTATTGCCTTGTTAGTTTTTGCAATGCCCCTAGTATTACCCAGAAGAAACTAGGGTGGAAGTAAAGCTAGTTCATTTGAACTGTCGTACTTTTTTACAGCTTATGCTGCCTGAAAGGATTCTGGTAGGACAAGCGTATTTAAGATACAGTGAGGGTGTATGTGTATAATAGGACTGCAATCAATTTTTTAAACCTTAGTGTCTATTATTCATAGTAAACAAACTTTACCTTTTTCTCTCTTTCTTTCTCTCTCTCTCACGAAGCCACACACACAAAGACGCGTCAGGAATGAAGCAATAAGAAATAAAAATAAAAAAAGTCATTTGCTTTTTTAAAAGTAACACATTATGCAAAAGTACGCGACGTTACAAAAGGATATTTTTAAGCATTCACTTGCTAATTTTAGAGATGATCAGAAGGGTTTAGCCTGCTGTTCTTTAATAGAGAATAAAGAAGAAAAAGTGTAGAATTTATTTTTAGTTAGTGAAGCCATTGTACGATGTTGCTGAACTATGAAAAAAGAGAGAGAAAGAGAGAGAGAGAGAGAGAACAATAAAAGCTTGTGTTCACATGATCTCTCTTTTTATATTTTATTTATAGGAGCATAAAGGGATCAAATCAGTAAAGTAATACGCGATACTTGTGTAAGCCATGACGCATTCTTTTTTCTTTATTCATGTCCCTTCTGTTATATGCATCCTTATTATTACTGCTCAAATATAATAAATAAAATACACACAGGTTTATTCAAAGAGGAGTCGAAGCCAGTTCGTTTCTGTCCGTAGACCCTTTCTCCTTTAACAGTTCTAATACACTGTTGCAAGCATTTGCCATCTGTCGAAAGCCTGACTCATCGATAAATTCATGAGCGCAAAACCAAAACTTGGAGGCATAATCTGAGCCTGTACGCCAATTCCTGGGTACACGGACATCTCCACCGGTGAAGACGGTACTCTGAGTCAAATACTGAAAGCATTCATCTACATCAAAATAGTCCTGAAATAAGATCATTCTGTCTCTTATCGAAGGTCCAGGAATATAGTCTATTCTCAGATCATGAGGAATGAGTTTCTGTAAGGTGGCTATTTATAATAAATGTTATAAAAAAAGAGAGAAATTCCACCAGATCACACTTACTTGGAGCTAAAGCTAGTTGAGTGTTTGGTCCCATGATGCTCGCTATTTTCAGTTGAAGCTTCGTGATATGTACTGCTTGCAAAGGCGGCATATGAACAAAATCATCGGCTGTCTTGAGAGAAGGGGACTGTAGAATAACGCCCCTGAGTGGCTTCTTGTGTATAGTCAATTGATTCTGTTCTGTCGTCATTATCTCGTCTTCCTCCTGTGCTGCTAGAGTATCAGCCAAGAGGGCATCTTCTTCTTGTTGTTGACTAAACCCTAATTTTGGATCTATTGGCTGTGTCGGAAAAGTGGCTTCAATCTGCTGACACTCGCTGTTCAAGGGAATATAATCCTGTGGGAACTTGTAAAACTTTCTTTTATGGTGCATAGCATTTTTCACTTGGCAAGTGTTGTATAAAGCTTGAGCGAAATCAACAATACGCTTATTTTCTAGGATTATCTCGAGTAAAGGGGGATTGCTCAATATAGTTTGCTTTATATCATATGAAGCCGTATTGGCTACATCTTCATCCACAAAAAGATGAGGTACTGATCCTTTCTCTGCTAGCATGGTTAGTGTGAAATGAAGCACCATGGCTCTTAGGTAATTTGCTTCGTACTGTGCTTGAGCTAGTTTCCTTTTCAGAGCTTGAATCTCTTTTAGAAAACACAATCTTTCCTTTTCATACTCTTGCTTTCTCTGATTCTCTCTTTCTCTATAAGCTCGTTGTGATGCTCTATTCTGTGCTCGTCTTTTCTCTACTGTTGGAGGATTAGGTTTACGACCGGGTCTCTTTTTCTTCTTGATCCTTTGTCCATCCTCTGTTTCGATGCCAAAATCGCTCTCTTGATCAAAATGGAAAAAGTTGAATTGTTGATTGTAGTTTTCTGAGCCTGTTGTTGACATTTTGGTTTTTTTTTTTTCAGTTTGATATTGGCTGGGAAAGATGAAAAATGGGGTGGAATAAAATCATTTTTCCCATATAAATAGTTAAACAAGAAGATATAGTCTTTTAAATAACATGTATCAAAGAAAAGAAAAGAAAGAGCGATTTTCTCTCCTTTATGAACTTGTGATATAATCTTGCATATTTCTATGAATATTTATCCCCCCCCCCCCCCCTTTTTGGCCCAAACTGTATATGTTATAAAAAATTATCTTTTTTTTTTTGGCTTCATTATATACAATATGCCTACAAGATATTATTAAAAAAGGGGAGAAAGGTTTTTCATTTTCAGAATCCTTTTTTTTTTCTCTCTCTCTCTTTCAAAATATGAATCAACAAAAATCAAAGACATTCAATTTTGGATTTCCAAGCAAAAAGAATAAAGCAGCACAAGAAGAACAATCTGTGTCAGAAGGGAAAAGAAAGATAACAGAAAGCATCGAGAGTTCAAATAAAAAATCAAAAACTATTGACGATGAAGACGAGTTATTAGCAAGTGCTGGCTTAGGACCTTCTATAAGCTCAGCTACAAAAGAAGAGGAAGAAGAAGAAGATCCTTTAGATGCATTTATGGCAGATATGAATGAAAAGGCAAAAAGTGAAAAATCAGAACCAAAGGTATAGAATTATACAATATACATTCACATTAATAACCATTATTATTCAGATTCGTAGAGATGATATTGAAGAAGAAGACGAACTTGAGAGTTATGTACGTCACATGAAAGAAAAAGGAATCACCATTGGAGCGAATAATCAACCATTGCCAGAAATAGATGAAGTAAAGATATATATATATATATACAAAGCAATACATGAGCTAATATTCCTGTAGAATGCCAACTCGGATGATGAAGTTTATGCTGCTGCTGCCGCTGTAGATCGTCTTGAAAAGCAATTTTACGATCTTGACGACGACACAGCAACAGCAGCACCCACAAAGAAAGAAATCGAACCGTTAGCCCGAGTGGATCACAGCACGATTGAATACACTCCTATTGAAAAGAACTTTTATGAAGAACATCCAGATATTACTGCATTAGATAATGAACGCGTAAAAGTATTACATCAAGAAATGGGAATTACTGTCTCGGGATACAATGTCCCAAAACCATGCATCTCATTTGCTCATTTTGGCTTTGATGAAGACTTGATGAATGCTATTGTTAAAGCAGGTTATACAGAACCATCAGCTATTCAACGACAAGCTATACCTGCTGCTTTAAGTGGTCGAGATATTATTGGTATTGCAAAAACGGGATCAGGGAAAACAGCTGCCTTTGTTCTGCCCATGTTGGTGCATATCATGGACCAAGAGGAATTAGTCAAGGGTGATGGTCCCATTGGCCTTATTCTGGCGCCCACACGTGAATTAGCTGTTCAAATATACCAAGAATCACGAAAGTTTGCTAAAGCTTACGGCCTCAAGTAATTTATACATTCATGTACTACAAACCAAGAGAGAGGAACTTATGTTCATTTGTAGAGTAGGCGCTGTTTATGGTGGCGCATCGAAATTGGACCAATTCAAAGACCTTCGTAGTGGAACCATTGAGATTTTGGTAGCAACACCAGGTCGACTGATTGATATGATCAAGATGAAAGCTACAAATTTGAAACGGGTTAGTTATCTTGTATTAGATGAGGCTGATCGTATGTTTGATCTTGGGTTTGGTAAGTCTTTTGTCAGCTTTTTTAGACAAGTGTACTAAACATGATGACAGAGCCTCAAGTGAGATCAATTTGTGATAACGTCAGACCAGATAGACAAAGTATGTTTATATTAAAAATACAAAAGGTGCCACGCTCACATTGATCTACTATACGCTCAAAAAGCTTTACTTTTCAGTGCAACTTTCCAAAAGCGTATAGAACGTTTAGCTCGTAATGTCACTTCAGATCCTGTTCGCATTAACGTTGGTACGACTGGTCAAGCAAATGAAGATATCACACAGATTGTTGAAGTATTTGTTGATGACACTTGGAAATGGGATTGGCTTATGAGAAGATTAGCTGGATTCTGTATAGGTAATAAAAAAAAATATACGCAATAACAAAAGTTGTTTACACATCCTATTAGAGGGAAGTGTTATCATTTTTGTCAGCAGAAAAGATTCAGTAGATAGTCTGGCATCCAGTATCCAACAAAACGGATATCAATGTAAGAACATCTCTATTTTTTGTTTATTTATTCCTTACAAACTGGTCTTTGTAGGCGTTGCTTTACATGGTGATCTACAACAATATGAAAGAGAAAAAGTGCTTAGAGAATTTAAGCAAAACAAGGCTCAAGTGTTGGTTGCAACAGACGTTGCAGCAAGAGGTCTTGATATTAAATCAGTAAAGATTGTCATCAACTATGAAGTGGCTCACGATATTGATTCACATACACATCGTGTTGGACGTACGGGACGAGCAGGTGAAAAGGGTACAGCCTATACATTGATTACACAAAAAGAAGATCGGTTTGCCGGTGAACTCGTACGGCATCTAGAAACATCCGGACAGGCTGTTCCTTCTGAACTGCTAAACTTGGCCATGAAGAACTCGAGATTCCGCGATGCTCGATTGGGTAGAAGAGGAAGAGGTGGAAGAGGTCGTCGGGGAAGAGGACGCGGTAATGCTAATCATACACCCATCGTGCCGAGGAATACAGCTGGTGTTGGATATCATTCAGGACAACATCCATCAAGTGGGATGATTCATTTTCAAAAATCCAGTACCGGAGATTTACACACGATATCACAACAACAACAACAACAACAACAACAACAGAGAAAGCCTAGTAGATGGAACTAACAAGATAAATAAAGATTATGCGTTCCTAATGTATACGCACTGCAATGCAATCGTGAAAGGGATAAAGGCATATGCGTGTAGTAAACCTTTTTTTTTTTTACAATCTGATAGTCAATTGAAATAGTGTGATTACGATATAGACTGTGCTCACCACATATATCAAGCAATAAAGATCGTATCGGTATTCAGTTTAAAATGAGTATTTCTAACAAAGTAGACATTCCCCTTCTCGTAAACAATTTAATAATACAACTATTAAAGACGAATTATTTCAAAAGACAGAGAAGGAGGCCATGATCAATAGACAAAGGATAACTTGGCAGAAACAATAAAGAGCGCTTTCATTGACAGCTTGTAAAAAATCACTTCATTTTTTCACGATTAAATGATACTGAAACAGACAACCCCTTTTTTAATTCTCCCCTTTTTTTTTAATATATTGAACAAAAATAAGATTATAAATAAGCTGTATTTAGAAAGTTTGTGAACAAGAAGAAGAAGGGAAAAGGGTCGCATTTATCTTTCCCATTATCTTTCCATTATCTTTTAAATCTATGCTTCCCGCAAAGAATTTTTCAAAAAAAAAAAAAAGCCCGCCGCATAAAATAGTCGTTTACAGATTATTGCTCTTTTCTTCTTCTTTTTTTTTTTTCTTTCTATTATTGTTTTAAATGCCTAGCAACACAAAAGCACCAGAGGCTCATGAAGTCCAAGAAATTGGTGGAACACCAGAACAAGAAGCATACATTCAAAATATTATTGAGCAATTCACTATTGATACTGAATACCTTGTAAAGATACGTGATCATTTTATTTCAGAAATGGAAAGAGGTCTTAGTCAAGAAGGCGCAACGGTTGCCATGATTCCATCTTATGTCGAGGGCCGCTTGACAGGTATATTTTTTTAAAAAAAGTGTATGACGTTATGCTATGGAACTGAACGCATTGTAATGTATCTAGGCAAGGAACAAGGCCGCTTTTTAGCCCTTGACTTGGGCGGTACCAACCTGAGAGTAGTACTTGTTACGCTGGAAGGTGAAGGCAAATTCAAGACGGTATCTTCTAAAGCTAAAGTGTCTGAGGCATTGAAGGTAGGACCGATGCGAAACTTGTGTGGTAATAATATATAATAGATGAAATCATGGTTTGAACTTCCGATTGATCAACACTTGTGTTTTTTTAGATTACATTGCCGAGTGTGTGGATACGTTCTTGACAGAACAAGGCCTTGAAGATCAAGAAATGGAACTTCATTTAGGATACACCTTCTCTTTCCCTGTTCTTCAATCAAAAGTAAATACAAGAAATAGAAGAAAAAATTATTTTATCTAATATCTTATAGATCAACCGAGGCATACTTTCAACGTGGACAAAAGGGTTTGCTTGCTCGGGTGCCGTTAACAAGGACCCCGTTTTATTATTACAAGATGCTTTATTAAGAAAACACGTTCCCGTAAAAGTATCTGCGCTTGTCAATGACACGGTCGGTACCCTTTTATCCAATGCATACAACAAGCCTGGTACCTTGGCCGGTCTCATCTTGGGTACTGGCTCCAACGGAGCTTATATCGAAAAAATGGAAAAGATCAAAAAATGGAAAGATGGAAAGACAACGTCAGATGAAATGATTATCAATATGGAATTTGGTGCATTTGATAATGAACGCCAAGTACTTCCTTTAACTCGCTTCGATAACAAGCTGGATCGTCAATCGATTAATCCCCATGCTCAAATTTATGAAAAGATGATTTCTGGCATGTATCTTGGTGAAATCACTCGTAATGTGTTGACAGACATGATCGATCGTGAGCTCCTACTCAAACGTGGCCCACATCAATCAGTTGCTTGGGCAAAGGATATCTCTCGTCATTGGTCATTCGAGACAGCATTCATGTCAAACATTGAAGCAGACGACTCTCCCGATTTGTCTCATACAAAAGAAATCTTGGATACCAACTTGAATATGCGTGATGTATCTACGGTAGAAGCTCGAATTATCAAGAAAGTATGCGAATTGGTCGGCAAACGTGCTGCTCGTTTAGCTGCAGTTGCCATTTCGGCTATCGTCAAGCATTGTGGTGTTGGTCCTGAAGGTCATGACATCGGTATTGATGGATCCCTTTACGAATTTTACCCTTCCTTTGAATCTAGAATGTATGAAGCTCTCCAGGAAATGATGCCTGAAGTTGAGGATATTCGCAACACCATTCGTCTTGGTCTTGCCAGAGATGGTAGCGGTGTCGGAGCTGCCCTTACTGCTTGTGTAGCTGCTCGTATGGAGGGACAGCGAATGGCAGAGTCACCACAAGTGTAGAAAGAAAAAGAAAAAAATAGCATACAGACATATGCATATACATAAATATACATGTACAGATTTTGATAACATTTATATATGTGTTTTTATTGCTACAACTCAAATACATTACTTGTGGATGTTATGCCATTAAATATACAAGTGTTGTTGATGGGAATATATTGATGGGTAATTAACTTGATAGCTTCTTGAGCAACGACTCCACCCAACAGAGCTGCTATATTAGCTGCTTCCTTGTTTTCAAATCGTACACTACTAAAGATGAGACGCTTTCTTTAAGAAATATGCACAACTTACAAGTTTTGGAGTGTTTTATCCATAATTTCACTTTCCATCAACTCTTGTACTTGCTCAAAAGGAATATCTATACTTTCCAAGAATACTACAGTTTGTTCTTTTAATGCATCATAATCCTCTACAGAACCTATTTCTATTTCAGTTTACACTGCTTATCCTCCTCCGTTTTTGGAGGACTTACTTGGATAACGATGATATATCTTCTGGAATCGATCTGCTGCTTTGAACACTATACAATAATGAATATTCTCTTCATTTTTCATCCATTGAACTATGATGAAAGGTATTTATAAATATGAAAAAGCAGCTTTTTTTTTTTTTACCTATTTTATCAGCTTGTTTATAATGAGAACTGATCAAACGATACTGAATCACTTTAATATGTCCAGCATTTTTACAAAAGGTTTCAATGACTTCATCTGAAATGACTGTTTCATCACCATCCAAAATATCATTCACTCTCTTCTTGACAGCGTTCAAATCAGAGAGAGCCTTTTGACGATAAACGCGTTGTAATCCAATGTATTTCACTGTATCTGACTTCATATCAGGTAACTTTCCCGAAAGAGGAAGCTGTCCCTCCCCTTCATTTTCGACAAAATCGCGTACTGCCTTTGCCAGAATCCAGAAATAAGGTGACTTTTTTTTTTACTTGTTAAGACAGTGCTTGTGTAGGCATGTACATACAACTTACATTGGCATCTGCGTTGACACAAGATGGGTCATTGAACGTCTGGCGCACTTCTGATGGAATCTGATTGTATTAAAAAAAAAAAGCATGAGTCATAAATGGAAGGGATATATGTTGAAACCTACATGATCTGTTGATGACAGTCTCCAGACATGAGAAAGAGCCTCTTGAAAATTTTCTTCGTCGGCAGCTCTCATACCACTTTTGATCATGTCTATCAATTCCTTTCTTTCCTCATAAGATCGGGGCGCCTGTCCATGTTTAGCTTTATAAGCCTCTACATACTTGAGAATGATGACCACGAATGGAACATGACTATGATCCGTTTGATCCAAAGCGTCCAAATCAAAAGAAGATGCATATTCGGAGAGTTCACGAAAGGGACAGGATAGTCTAAGGTCCATTGCGTTTTCAGGATGTGACTCGATGATGGTGTGTTCCGGTGCCTGAATACTAAAGGCGCCGATAAACCCGTTCGACTTGACAACAATCATGGCTTTATCTTGACATAAAGAAGCGAGTGTCAATACAGCTTCTTCTGGCATATTGACGATGATGATCATGGTGAATGGTTCAAATACTTTGGGATCGTTTTGAATTAAATCGAGAGGATCCTACGAGGAAGATTTATCATTCATTTTCTATAATAATACCTTTGTTTACCTTTTCAATAAATGTGACTTTAGCATCTTCGTTAAGCTCTTGAAGTAACTCTGCTGCTGATTTAGCTTTGGAACAGCCAATGCTTTCTGGATCCAGAAAAAAGTTGTTTTGAATATCTTGGCCTGTTACTTTGCTGTCGTCAATCACTGTTATATTACCAACGCCTAAGTTGAATGGTTAGTATAGCTAACCAAAGCTTTCTTTTCTTTTTACCAGGTAAAATCAGGTTTTTAATGATTTCACAGCCAGTTGAAGTAATGTTTAATAAACAGACATGAGCTTCTTCCAAGGCTTGTTGTCCTGTTGTTGCCCAAAGTCTATGTTTCTAAATATTGAAAAGATAAAACAAGTTGTTTAGTATCTACCTTAGTTGTCTATCATATTTTTGTGTTTTGAGATCAATTGGAGGCGACATTATATATGTATATAAACAAGGAAAAGAAAAAGAAAAAAAGTCTATATAATTTATTCTGTGTGTATTATGAAAAGTAAGAAGCGACCTTCTCCTCCCCCCTTTATCCCAATTCTTTCTGCCTCTGTCTCTCTCTCTCTTGTGTTACTACTTTATGACACCTTCCCTCTTATTCGTATCCTGTAAACACAATGCGTTAAACAAATCTATTGTGCATCTCAATCATAAACTTATGCTTAAAGATCAACTCTACACACAAGTCCGACTGCCTGTGTTCAAATACGCGGCTTTGCCTGTTTTATTGCATTTTCTTTCTTTTTTTTTTTTTTAAGCTTATAATAATGGCTTTTCTTTCTGGATTTGTAAAGAGCGGATTATCTTTATTGGGCAAAGATAACTCAGGATTTGGATACGCCATTGGAGACAAGGTTGAGTTTTATTCAAATCAGTCTATTTGGAATCTTCATCAAGGTACAAAGAAGGCAAGTGATGTTGACACTTTATATTTGGATATATTCTCACACAGCTTTTCCTCCTCTTTATTAATAGGAAGATGGTTCTGAGGTTTCGATATTCGTATTTGATTGTATAAAGAATAAGGATCGAGTACTATTAGCCAGAAATGCCTTTAAACGAATAAGAACCATGAGGCACCCAGATATGCTACGTTATTTGGATGGCATAGAGGTGAATAGAGAATATTAGGATCTTATTTGAATGCTTATTCTATTGATTGAACAGACGGAACAAAGTATCATGTTTGTCACTGATCCTGTTGAACCATTATCAAACCAACTTGGCCAAGACCCAGATAAGAATCTGATTATGTGGGGGCTCTATAAAGTGGCAGTAAGAGAAACATATACAGTGGTTAAGAAAAGATATTAAAAGATTTGCTTAGAATGCTATCAAGTTCATCAATGACGATTGTGATATGGTTCATGGCAATGTCAGAGTGTCTTCAATATTTACAAATAAAGCAGGCGAGTGGAAACTAGGTGGATTTGAACTACTTTGCTCAATGAAGGAGGAGAGTCCAATGATTTTGGTAAAAAAAAAAAAAAGCTAGAGTTTGACAAAAACTAAAGTCTCATCATGATCCCTTAGACGTTTGGTGGGTTAGTTCCAGATGCTCAGAGATATGCAACACCCGAAGTGAAAAAATCAGGCTGGACAGTCATAAAAGAGTAAGAGATCAGTAGGACAGGATAACTGATATAATAATCCAATCATTTAGCTTACCAACAGGAGCCATTGATTCATACCATTTAGGCTGCCTTATATATGAAGCATACAATCATCGATTTGAAACAACAGATTCATTATTAAACCAAAAGGGCAATCTACCGCCAAGCATTCAGCGAGCTTATACACATCTCCTGAATCCAAATTACAAGTCAAGAGCCACTGCAGACATGTTTTTAGACGATGGCCTAAGTGCAAAAGGATTCTTTTCAAATGATTTTGTAAAAGTAAACCTGTTTTTGGAAAATATCAGCATCAAAGAACAGAGCGAAAAGGAAGGGTTCTTTAAAAAGTTGGATGCTTACATTGATTCATTTCCAAGCCAGTTTTGTAAGTATAAAATACTACCTGAACTCATGAAAGCGTTTGAATTTGGGTCTGGTGGCGCCAAAGCGCTAGGCGCGATTGTGAAAGTGGGGGATTACCTGTCAGATGAAGAATATGAATCGATTATTATCGATCCCATCATCAGAATGTTTGCTTCACCAGATCGAGCGATACGTATTAGCTTATTAGAGAATATGCCAAAGTTTATAGAACATATGAACAATAAAATGGTGACAAATCAAGTTTTTCCAAACATTGTAAGCAAAACAACCGAAACTGGGACAGACTGATTGAACCCTTTGTAGGCTACTGGATTTACAGATGTTGTTCCAATTATCCGTGAACAGACCATTAAGTCAGTCTTGCTTCTTGTGCCGAAATTAAACGAACGTATAATCAATTATGACCTTTTAAAATATCTTGCAAAACTTCAGATGGATCCTGAACCAGGAATTAGAACAAATACCACCATTTGCCTTGGAAAAATAGCAAGATATCTAAGCGAAAGTGTAAGTGATTCTTATTTGATCTATCAGTCATTAACTATGGTTTTAGACAAGAAAGAAAGTGCTGATATCAGCATTTACCAGAAGTCTAAGAGACAGCTTTTTTCATGCAAGAGTGGCAGCTTTAATGGCTCTTAATGGTAACATTGGGTCTTTACATTGTACAATAAGCAAAAAATTAACTATTCTCTTTAGCAACTGTCGAATTTTATGACGCCCAGGAATGCGCGACAAAGGTATTACCCGCCGTATCAGCCGCTTTGATTGATAAAGAAAAGTAAAATCTCTTACTAATTTATAAGCTTCTCTACTAAATTTGTATCTATAGGCCTGTTCGTGATCAAGCATTTAAGGCACTAAATACCTTTGTAAAGAAAGTTCAGGAATTTGCTGACAATATGGTACTTTCTTGATCACTTAACGATATATTATTATATTAAGCTTCGTTTAATAGCCTGAAACAGCAATTGAGCCTGCTACTGCATCACCCAACTCAGAAGAAGCAAAAGCTCAAGCGACCAGTATGACAGGTGTCTTGGGTGGCGCAACAAAGGGATTGGCTGGTTGGGCTGTGTCTTCTATTCAGTCAAGAGTAAGAAGAAAAGTAAACAGTACATATTCATTCATCTTGTCAAAAATAGTTTTCTACGCCAAGTGGTGAAATCGGAAACCCAGTCAACACTGTTGATGCGAGCACTCCAACGGCAAGCCATCAGAATGTAGCAACGCCTCCACTTCAAAAGAGCGCATCGATTAGATTCGATATTCAAAGCATAGAACCTGATGTGACTGAAGAGACGAATGCATGGGATGACGAGGATACTATTCCATTCGATACCAATTCGGAAGCAACGAATGGCACTTCGGGTAAAAAGATATGATAAAGTATATATATTATATGAGCTCATCTTTTTTATCTTAGATTTTGCTAGTCCAGTCACTCAAGCAGAAGCTACCTCACCTTTATCAAATGACTATACCGCAACCTCTCCTGTATCAACTTTTGGTGTAAGCAAAGCAGCTCAAGGATCCATGAAGCTAGGTCATAGTAAACCCAACAAGATAGGTAAAGTCATATTTTTGTGTCATGTGCATGCATTTACATTACCTCTAATCATTCGTCTGTTATTAAAAGATGATGGTGGGCTTGATTCCATGATTTCAGCCTTGAAGGATACTAAAGATGAACGAAAGACCGAACTGGAACGCAAAAGAGAAGAAAGAAGACAGGTAAGTAATGCATGTGGTATTGAATATGGCTTGCTAATCAATAATATACAGCGTATGGCTGAATTAAGAGAGAAGAAAAAAGGCGGCATTGGAGCAAAAAGGGTTCAAGGCATAGGATTATAAATAACAATAAACAACACATAATTTGCTCTCATAGCATACTTTCTGCAAACCAAGGCACAGATCTTTCTTGATTACTATATTTGGAATGTATTTTAACATCCCGAAAAGGAAAACCCAAAATAACCTCTTTTTTGGTCCCTTTGTTTTCTATTGCTTTTTTGGGTATTTTTTTAAAAGATTTTCTTAAGCATTGAAACTTTCTGGCATTCCTCCTTCCTTTTCTCAAGGTTTCATTGTTTAATTTCATTATGTCTTTACAGATATTGAGAAATGCGGTCTTTGTTTCGCTGTTTATTATGGTCATTTTGCATGAAATATCATGCATGATCTTACCAACAAAGACGACATACTTGGCTCACTCCACTGCAATATTATCTGAAAAGCCAACTCATTTATCTAAAAGAGATGATATTGAAACGAATCTTGAATTATATCAAAACTGGGCAAGCATATGTAGGCAATATAGAAATGGTGGCTATAACGCGATCATTGCCTCAAATACAAACGATGACATTGACATAAACAAGTTGTGGAAAACTATTACTCAAACCATCAATTGCGGTCCTGGTGGTCCCGTTACTGTTACTACGACTGTAAGCGCGAGTCCGACATCAGTACCCTCTAATAGTGGCTCAAGTCCATGCCAGGGGCAGTGTTGGTCAGACTATCTATGGCGTAAGTATGAAAGACATATTCAATAGCAAACATTGCCTCATTCTGTCTTCCAATAGATACCTACGGTGATGGGATTAGTCCTGCTCAGGGATTCGTAGGCACGTTATGTATAGTCGTAGGCTTTTACTTTTTTATACTCGGCTTCCGCTTCTTCCGTCCAACTATGGCTCTTGTAGGATTTATCTTTTTTGGTATGCAAAATATATATATATTTACTATAGATAACGACATGTTTTAACTTGTTGCCATCTAGCCACCATGACATGGATTGGCCTTGTTAACAACGAACCTACTGGTGGCTACCCTCTTGCTGACTTGATATATATCTGCGTTAGCGCAGGACTTGGTGTCCTTGGTGCCTTTCTCTTTGTTTACTTTTACCCTGCTGGCATATATTGTTTAGCAGGGTTAGGAGGATTTTATGTTGCGGTTTATATAATGTCATGGAAAGAAAATCTCGTTATCATTATTGTAAGTGAAAAAGACACTTGGTTATGAAAGTGAAACTAATTCCATGCTGTAGAAAGTTGCTCGTGTATGCTTTATTATAGGCTGTGGAGTACTATCCTGCGTACTACTTTACTTTGCTGAGACATACATGGTATTCATGTATACTGCATTCATTGGCTCATACCTGTTCTTCTTTGGTCTTGATTTTTTTGTACATACTGGCTTTATCAACCCATGGCTACTTATTTTCGATGGAAACCCGAATCACCATAATACTTATTTGATGAGTACCTCTGTGCGAGTCATGTTGGCGCTTGTCTTATTTATCTTTTTGGTGTCTATCATTTGGCAGTATTATTGGCATGTCATTCGTTGTCCTCGAAAGTTTGGCGTGGTTATTGTGGAAGAAGAAGTGAAAAAAGAAGAAAAAAAGGAAGAAAAACCAGCAGATCCCCCTTCAGAGCCCATCGTCTGTTGTCCTCCTCCATACTATCCCCCGCCTTACTACCCTCAACCTATCTTTACTCAAAATATTTATACAGCCCATTAATGTAACATATATATACCAATCGATTCTAATCAAAACGCTCACACTTCTTTTTGGTTTTTTTTTCTCACTTTTGCTGTGTCGAACATGCAGGCATTCTCAAGATACATAATAAAGAAATTCAATATGTCAGTTCTTACCAGCATTTAAAAAAGTCAAAGAGGATACAACAGTATGCGTGTCAGGAATTAATCAGAATTATTTTTATAAGAAAGCGAAGAAAAAAAGGAGGGGGGGGTTTTAATAATCGCTTTCCAGCGAGCTCTGAAGATGTTCTTTAAAAAAAACGTTGATCGTATGTCTTGAAACTGATTTTGAAAATCTTTGAACATATTATATCTGACAAGACCATTCCATTATTGTCATTACTCCCATAGTTTTTCCTCTTTTCCTTGTGTTGGTTTTTTAAAGAGGTAATCATCTTCATTATTTCTTCAAAGCGATACTATATGAAAAACATATGCTGTTAGATCTTATCTTTCAAGTTATAAGAATGACGACTACACCTTGAAACCCAAGAAATATGTTGACAAGTTCATCAAATTTTCTTCTTCTCAGCAAACTCTTCACTTAGCTCTACTTTTTCTTCTCGGACAAAGTCATACAGTCCATTCTTGGAGCACTTGATTGACCACAAGCGAATGGCTCTGCCTAAATGTTAATAAAAGGTATATGATCTTGCCGCTTATTTGTACAAATTACAGCTTGAACCTTTTGAACTCGTCAATCAAAGCGTACTTGTACATATCTGCAATGGTCTTGAGCATTGCCAACAAGGCAAGCATCCCTTTCGAGTTATCAAAAGTAACTTTTAACTTGTCGTCACTTTTGAATGGTCCCGCTGTCTCCAGGATAGCCACTTCCACGTCTTCTGCTGCGCCTAAGCGAACACCATCCACACGATAAACCTGCCTTTTATTGAAAGTAGCATGCATACTTTTTAATTGGACTGTCATAGCTACAAGTTCTTCTTCCCTGGGGACAAAATATGGCTCGTAGCCATTCTTCTTCACCATGAACATCATTGCTTGCACGATAGGAAAGATTATGTTGGTGTTAAACACCACTTCGGAATGTGCCAATGATGGTTGTTTGACGTAAACGTTGGACCTAGTTCAGATAAAGGAAAACATATAAGTATTTGAATGATTATATGTTTTTTTTTTTT